GTGTTTCAGTTTCTGTCTCAGTTTCAGTCCTAGTTTCCCCGCCAGCCCTTGTCCCCGGAATCAGAGGGAGCACTAAGTAGCCGTTGTGAAAGTGCCAATGTCGAACTCAGGGTGGAAGGTTGGGCGGATGGGGATGTCTATGGGATTTGGGGTGTTTTCGGCTCTGGGGTGCTCGTATTAGAAAGATTGTGTTCCATTTGAATGCGGTGCACATTTGTCGGCTGGTTTCTTGGCGGATTATTATAATATATTGAAGATCGCTTAGTTGAAATTTAGTGTTAATGTCAATGGGGTCTTATGAGCGCAATAAGAGCAGCAAAATGACGGGGCAAATGGCGATGATTCACATTTTCTTACTTCTGGATAGTAATATGTCTGTTGGTTTTCTTTGACTTTTTTTATTTTTATAGGGTTGAACACGTTTGGAAATGACAATGGCCGTTTTAAAAGAAATAACCATTCTATGATTGGGTAATATACAAAGGTATATTTTCCTTTTTTTACAAATTATTTTTTAGGTTTTATTGAAATGGCCATAGACGCTGACAAAGATTAAGACTCATTTGAAATGAGAACTAGTCCTAAAATATTTATACTTTTAAATTTTATTATGGAGCCAGAAATTGTCAAAAAAAAAACAAACTTTCATAAAATCCATATAGTTTTAAACTAAAAATTAAAAAAAAGGGTTTTCTTGTGAGTTTTTATCTTAACATTTTATCTCGAAAACTACAAATGTTCAGCAAGCCGATACCTGAAACCCATTTGTCTAAGCAGCCATTTTTCCAGTTCCCGTTCACCATTTTCAATTAATCGAATTGAAAACTCCACTTTCCGATTTCCCCTGCCGCACTTTAAATTGAAATTGAAAAGCGAAAATTGTGATAAACGAGCGCCAGGGGCTTTAAACAGCGCCCGGCGAGTGTTGGGCACACGGAAAAAAAGGCAAAAACTCATTTCGCAGTGTTAATAAATTATGATGTAGCAGCGCGGCGGGATGTGCAATTTTGCAACAAAAGATAAAGGTGGAGAGCAGACAACAACAGCAGAGGCATCAGCCATATCCATTAAGGCCTACCCGGAGACATGGCCAATCTCTTCCGGCGGAGGCATGAAAAAGTGCCAGGGGATAAAATCAACCTGTGCATTCGCAATGAGCTGTGAGCTGGGAGAAGTGACATCTGTGGAGTGGGGATGGTTAGAGATACCAACGCATCTGATACGGATTGGGTTTGTGATTGGGACTGTGACCCTTTTTGCACTTGTTAGAATAAAAATCACCCTTCGCAATGGATTCTCCGGGGTGGGGACGCCATCGAACAGGGTGTTTTATGCCTTGTTTTATTTATGCAAAATTATGTTTCAATTAAACGCAACGCGCTTGGTAATTGGCCGCCATTTTGTCGGTCTGAAAGCCAGAAATCCTGAAATCCAGGACTCCGCGGATGGCAACATCTGCGATGCGCTGTAATTAGGCCTCGCATATGCCGCAGCATCCACAATTTCAGGCGCGGGGATGGAATGGAATTTAAAGTAGGATCAGCGTTTGCGGCTTTGTTTGCCCTGTCAAAATATTGTAATTCTTTTTTGGCCGGGCTCAGCCCGCGAACGAATTTGAATGCCATAAAGTTCCAGAGTTTATGTGCGATTCGGCATTAGAATTACACGGCCGACTAACGCCATCCGCGGATTTGCCGAATCGCGCAGTGCTGGATACACAGTGGAATAAAACATGAATAAAACATAGGCCAGGAATGGGTGTTTCAGGGCTATTAAATCATGGATAGCGGTAAACTGCTAGCTACAGTCCAAGTGTGTGATTATAAAATGACAACCAATTTTAATTAAAATTTATAAAATAAATAACAATTTTAAGGCTGACAAATATTTTTAAACATTTTATATTTATATAAATAAGAGTTACTGGAGTTGTTCAAACAGATATAGCAGCAAACGCTTGATTTTGCCTTTCTGCATATACTAATTATAGAATATTTATTAATCAGGGGACAGTTTGCACTAAATGGTTCTTGCCGAGCACATGAAATAAGAAATATATACCAAGCGCTGCCTTATCGCGTCGATGATCGCCTTTTGGGGCAGTTTGAGCGACGCAGGAAAACTTTTCCAATAACAGCATCCAAATGTGAACTTATGCCCGGCCCGTCTACGTGCTCGGAATGGCGAGCGGCGACATCCGCCGTGAACCCAATGGGAAAGCTAGGACCCAGCCTCACCCACATTCCCCCATCAATGGGACAATCTTTGGAACGCCATTTTGACGTTTTCGAAAGTTTCTTTTATTGCATACATGAGCCATTTGGGTGCCGGGGCTTCCGTTTCCGCTGCCGAGGACTCAGCTCGTTGACGCTGCCATTACGCTGTCGCAGCTCCGAAAACAGGATGAGTACATCGTCTGGCCTCCACCTCCGGCCGGGCTTCGAACCCAGGCCCTTCCTAGGTCCTTAGACCTTCGCTTCGGTCGCACATGTGGGCGTGCCGTAAATGGCGTCGTTATGTGTGCGCTTATTATCATAATCCGTTGAGTTGTTGGCGCATTAATTAAATTTAATTAAAGGCGTTTTGCAACATTTCCGGATACGTGGCCACGCTGCCAATTGCACATCTCAGGCGAAGAGGCCAGAATCTCCCCTTGGCGAACTGTAACCCCAATCGTCCCTGCCGACGAGGCATGAAATCAATTTGCGCAAAATGGCATTCGTTAATTAATATTTGCGGCAGCGGCATTAGCAAGTGGGAATTTATGCCCCCAAATAAGAATATATTAATCTATTGAATGGTCACGATACTAAACACATGCTCTGATATATGATGTGGATTATTAGGAAGAATGCATTAAATATATCACGCTTAAAATCAGTATACAAATTATACTGGGGAATATGTGAAAATATCTCTGGATGCATTTTTCATAATTAAGATCTTAAAAGCCTTTGTTAAAGGCAGATGTTTTCCATTCATTCCACATATTTCATATAAAAAGTAATCCAAGATGTAATTCACAAATGGTGCACCCAATACTCAATTAGTTTTAGACAAATTCCTTTGATTTTATTTATTTATTTATTCTTCACTGCAGTTGTTGGCTTATGCTAACGTTAATTTTCATTTTCTTTTTTTTTTGGGTTCGCTCATAGTTTCATATTTTATTAATCCCCTTGGCTGAAATCTGTTCGAACGCAAACGAATTGTGACCTCTAGATTTTTATCCAGTTTCTTAACATAAGTAGTTGTCATGCAGTTTTATGTACAAATACGATGGCAAATATTTGGGCGCCCCTCGATCGCTCTCTCTCTGCGATCGATCTAATACTAGGATCTGTTTAAAGTTCGAATATAATTCAGTTACGTATATGCGGGTTCTTGATCTATCGCAATGGCCGAATATGCTCGGCTGGGTGAGTAAACTTGGTTGGTTAGTAATAGTATCGACTTGATTCTACGTATATATGTTCGTTAGGCATTAGCTAATGTTTAGTTTGATTTGAAGTTTTTGGACCTCGTTGAAAAGGTCGGCGTATGGATGGGTTCTCGTTGCAGTTGCTTCCCAGTCGGAGTGAAACAAAGGTAAGTTTTAATTGTTTTCGCATTCATTTTAAAATCGCATAAAATTATATAATACACAATTCGTCACAACTAAACTTAAACTAAAATTAACAGAAGTTTTAGCATAATGGTTCAAACAAAATATAAATTTACGCGCTAATTTGCTAGGCCGTCCAAATGAGACTAAACATTAAACTTAAACTTAAACCAAAACAGAAACTGAAACGCAACAAAAACAGAAACGGAAGCGGGAACAGAAACAGAAAGCACTCGGTTTCCTTCAAGAAGGTCGTGAAACAAGGCAAAGGCTGTCACCACCCGGGAATATCACTCGAAACAGGGGGACTCGGAAAATATAGTATTCCCGTTGAGAATTCAGAACTGAGAATTGAGAAAAATATGTGCGCTGGGTGGGGATGCTGATTTTTGGTGGTGTCTGGCTTTTGGGCAAAACGTGACTTTAACTTTGACTCGACTGCTTTTTGTGTTAGCCATACTAGATACACATACATTTAGGTATTTATACATACACATATAAGTTCATAGTTGTATATATTTGTAATATATATTCATATATATTTTTGTCAATAATTGTTTATGTAAATACGCGCTGTGTAAGCCTTCCGCTCCGGTTGTGTATAATAAATAGATTTTGACTTTAGTTCAACTTGCAATCCGCGGGAGACTATGCTAGGTAAATTTAATTTGGGGAAGTTTGAAATCTACGTATATGGGTTCTGCCGCTCGTCCTCTCCATAACTATATATCTCCCCCTACTTTTTCTTCCTCGACAGTTTGTCTGTTGTTGCAACCTTAAGCTAATACGTATTTCAGAGTTTCCATTCTGTTTGTTATTCTTTTAGTTTTGTAGATCTGCAGGCCTTTCATTCGCCGCCTCGTACATTCCTCGCTTAATGGTAGTTAATTTAAAATTTTAGTCACTGGCAAACGACATTTAATTTCTCAGCTCCTCTTACTCCAATTTAGTTTCATGCTTCATTATTATTATTACGTATTTGAAATCGTGATTATGCTTTTGGGTATGTTGCATACCGTTTGTTCTTACAACTGGTATTTATGGAAATATTTGCGCAATTGTTTTGCTTACTTGTTTACTTGCTTTCGAATTAAGATTAATATGGCATTGAAGAAATCATTGTATTCAAGCGTTGGCATACAACGAAATACAGCAAACACACAGTAAACACATCACTTGAACAAAACATTGGAAGAGGGTTTTTTTTCGAAAAACATAAACATAAATTTCCAATAAATAGGTAGATACAAAACGTACGCTCTATAACTCTATAGGTAAGTATCTTTAATCTGTAAGCATATCCATATATTTATGTATTCATATACCGTTTAACATAGTCGAACGTGGCTCTAAATATCGAACTAGGTTATCCTACAGCAGTCGCAAATAATTTTACACTCGAACCCCGCGAGTCGCCTTCCCCCAAGAACCAATTCTCATGGAAATTAGTCGATGGCTGGCAACGGAGTTCTCTGACTATCAAAAATCGCTCATTTCGTCAATATTCATTTATATAGATCGCGTCTCCTGCTAACTCCTGCCTTAAGCATTTACCGCTATTCTAAGTAGTTCAAGTTATCCATTAATATTACCGAATTGGGCCCTTTGGCCCAGAGGCTCTGCACTGCTACTGGGGGTTGAATTGCCAATTTAGGGGTTGGACTGCGCCAAAAGGGAAAAGTATGGAAGAAATGCCGGATACACAAGTTCTCACTGGAGATCTGGAAGGGAATCACATGCGTTGCACTATCAAATAGGCCACTGCACTCGGGGAAACCTCAGAAAGCTTTGATCCTAGGCAATCCAACTCAAGTCCAGTGAATCGCCCCTGGGCCATCGAACTCACTCATTTGCGTGTATGTAGGTTTGTAGACTTATGCAACTATTTACTATGTAAAACTTTACGTATTTTAGTTATCGAGTTTATCTTCTGCTTGCTATCTCGCTCGCGTTACACAGACGAAGAGATGAAAAAGAACGCCGGACGCTGATCCTGGCGGTGGCTGCGGTGGTGGTGGTGGTGGTGCTAGTGGAGCTAGTGGTGCGGCTGGTGGAAGATTGGCTCGTTGGCTCGGCTGGGCGGCTGCGGTGGGTCAGCTTAGGAGTTGACCTTGCTGACCGCCTTCAGCAGGTCGTGATTGCTCTTGTCCAGGGCGCTCATCATGCCCAGATTGCCGCCCAGTCCACCGCCGATGCCCGGCCCAATGCCGCCCACTCCGACGCCCACGCCCATGCCAAGGCCGAGCTTGAGATCGTTTTGGCCCACCACCGAGTGGTGCAAGTGGCCCGGATTGTGTGCGATGATCGAGTGGTGGTCCTGCGGCTGTTGTTGCTGCTGCTGGTGCTGCTGTTGCTGCTGCTGTTGCTGTTGCTGCTGCTGTTGTTGCTGCTGCACTTGCTTGTTCTGCTGGGCGGATTTCATCGTCTCCTGGGCCTTCATCTTCTCCTGCTCCTCGCGATCGCGTCGAGCCTTAAAAAAACAGAGAAAGAGAGGGAGCAAGTCAGTATTGATTTTTTTGGCGCCCCCGGGGGGACCGAGACCAACTCACCTGTTCGTTTATTTCCTTGACGGCGCGCAACTCCTTCTTCAGCTTCATGCGCCGGTTCTGGAACCAGATCTTAATCTGTCGCTCGGTCAGGCAGAGGGCATGTGCGATCTCGATGCGCCGTCGCCGGGTCAAGTAGTGGTTGAAGTGGAACTCCTTCTCCAGCTCGAGGGTCTGGAAGCGAGTGTAGGTCTGGCGACCGCGTCTTCGGGGACAACCGTTGGGGCCTGCGGAGGAGGAGAAAACGGAGAAAGTCGCGTCAGATGTTGGTGATGGTTTCTTGTATTTTTTGGGCAACGCCTAATGAGCTGCAAAGTCTGGCTGTCAGCGGCAACACATGTCAGGCGTCGCCACATGATTTGTGCTGGGGGATGGCGGATTGGGGAGCTTCGCTGCACTGCGAATGTCTGCGAATGGCTGCAAATTATGAGCCAAACAAACAGTTTTTCCAAGGGGTAAGAAAGGGAGTGATCTGAGGCCACATCTGACGTCAGCAGCCGCCGCCCCAGGACATCGGCTCCCCGGGGTCCATTGCGGACCTGATTCCGCTGCGGATTGGCATCGCACGCAGTGCGTGGAAGGGTGAAGCAACCGGCACCGACTCGCCCAGCGGCAGGTCTCGCCCTGGTGGCCAGCCAGCGCTTTTCCCCGATTTTCCCTGCATTCCTTTCTCTACTTTTTTGTGTTGTTTCTTTTTATTTCCCTCTTGGTTTTTTTTAGCAATTTTCCATGCTACCTGTGCGAATTTTTTGCGCGACGGTGCGAAGATGCGCCTGGAATGGGCACAGGCTCCGTGTTTATGTTACGGAAATCAAAAATTCGCTATCTACAAATTGCTGTCCCAGTCCCAGCAGCCTCTCACTTTTACCCGCTTGCCGTTTTATGGCCACCGTGTCTCTCTTCTTTTTTGCCGCTGCTGCCTTTGTGTCGAGTTTTTCTGGTAAAAGGTTTTCACGTCAACGACAATTTTTTATGGTTTTCAAGTTGCGACTTTCCAACGGCAACCGGCAGACAAAATAAAAAAGGGACAATTTTTACGTAATATTATGAAAGGTGCAGATTTTGCAAATCTTCCACGGCTGCAGTTGTAAATCACTGGGGTTTTTTCCTAGTTTCCGTTGCATTTTTTATGAGATTGAGCAGTTGGCAAAATATTTACGAACGGATGAGTCCGTGACATTTGGAATTACCTGAGCCGATAGGCAGTTTAAATGACTCATGGGTGCAAAAATAAAAAACTCCCTTATCGGCACTTTTTAAAAAGATGCAAAAAGGTATGTTATGTACAAATCTGAATTGAATGAAAAAAATAAATTTGTGATTGGTAAAAGAGTTAAAGTTTCACTGTTGGTCAATAAATTTGGTCTAGATCTTTTGTTTTAAAATGGCTTTCAATTTACCTGACATAAACCCATTTTAGAAAAATTAAATTCAAATCAAATTACTTTAAATTAATTTCTTGTGCCACCAACGCTCTACTCTAGTTTTAATTTGAGGAGAGCAGCCATAAAATGAGAAAAGCATTGACTGCGTGGAGTGGTCGGAGAATAGAAGGAAAGGGGGCAAAAGCAATTTCAATTCTAATCAACCTCCTTTCCCGCCTCTCCCCTCGACTTGCGGTCCTGCGACCAGGAATACCAAACTAATCTAAATTATTTACACGCTACAATGAGCAGCTACAATTCGTCCCATAAATCACGACTCCCAGGACACACGCGCCCCTAAACAAGATTTACGACCCCCGCAATGGCCGCCGTGGCTGGGTGCAGGTGCGAGCGAGATGGCTGATCGCTCGCAGGACGGAGTGATGGAATCCAACATGGCTGCCGCAGAGTCTGCCTTTCACACAGGTAGACAGAGAGAGCGAAAGAGAGAGCGAGCGTCGGCATGGCAACGCCTGAGTTCTTTTTGTTAGTGTGAGTGGTGAGTCGGCGCAGCCAAACCGGAATTCCAAAGAGAGCACTCACACGTGGATTCGGAGTGGACTTGGGCGGAGAGGAAAGTAAAGGAGAACGTTTGACTCAACGGCTCTACTTTGTTATTGATTTTCCAACGCCACTGCATTTCCACTCAATGCACGAAAACTATTTAGAAAGCCTTAAATCCGCTTGGGAAAAATATACAATCGACAATTTCAATTCTGGTTTCGGATTTTTGAGTATGTCTGGGCAAAGCGGCTTTGTGGGGGTCTGTCAGGGTTCAATGATCTTTCCAAACAATGAGGAATTCATTAAAGTTATGGAGAACATTATTTATATTTTGAAAATATAATCGGAGTATTTAAAATATCATCGAGAGAAGAATTATAAAAAAAGAAAAAAATATTTGTATTTTCCAAGTTTAATTTAAAGATTGAATCCTTTTTTGATCATATGCTATGTGATTTTAATGTTCATTTAATTTCAATGTTACAGTAATGTTTATCTAAGGTTTTGTAAACAATCAAAATTGTGCAATCCAATTGATAGCACAAAGAAATAAATAAAATAAATAAATAAAATCAAATGTATTTATAATTTGAATTAATCATTAATTGCTAGTCATAAATCAACAACCAATTATTGGAATTCTCTGCCCATTTTATTTATTTACTCTACACTAGCGTGAGTCATTTTAGACCAGCTGAGTCAGCAACTTATTTTCTGCATACCATAAGATCGCATAACATAAAATCTCCCAAGATTTAGGGGGTTTGATGACTTTCAATTGCGCACTTGTCGATAAATTAGCTGTAAGCGCTTCGATAGATTTGACAAGCGCTAAGCGGCTATCTTAAGTTTATATTTTTTTTCAATTTGAGGTGGCCGGTCGAACCGGTCCGTTGCACAATTGCCAAGGAAAACCATTTTCCAATTAAAAATCAATTAGCGCACCATAAATCGCGGCTGCAATAGACTGAATCGGCGGTCGGGTAAACAAAACGGCATGGAAACGGTCTAGGGCCAGAAATCAGTTTCGGAATCGGAGGAAATTCCAGACGCGGTGGCGTTGGCGGGCCAAAATGGAGCGGATCCGAATGGGCCATTCCACTGTATATTCTACGGATTGGCCGAGGGAATCCGAGAGGTGACAAGACGGCCAGGAAAGCCGTCCCAAGGCGCCGCTGTCAACGGTGCAAATGGGCCTGGGAATGGTTATGTTATTCGAACGAGAATGGGAATGGAAATGGGAATGAGAATGGGAATGGTTATGGCCCAGACCCGGGGACAGCGTCTATAACAATGACATTAACAATTAAAAATATTAATAATCATAAACGTAATTGTTCAATAAACAGCGGCGCGTATAAATAAGCACAAAAACATACGAAAACGAGAAGCTGAACAAAAAAACACAGCGCAGACTGAAACTTATGATGACATAAAAATCATAAAAACAATTCAAAGCGTACAATAAAGATACACACACACACTCTCAAAGGGGCGGATGGGGGAGGGGGTTTTGGGCAAAAGCGCCATAGTTTGCCCAAGTATCTGGCTCTGTGTGCGTGAGTATCTGTGTGCGCATTCGAAAGTGGTTCCGTGGGGACGCTGACAAGTCTTCGAGTCTTGTTTATCAAGCGACACAAAATTGTACAATAAACAAACATTTTGCCGTACAAGTATTTCGTGTTTAGTGTTTGGCTCCTATTTTTTTGTCTGCCCATCCCTTTCTAACGTTCTTGCTTTCGTTTTTTGGTAAATAATAAACAAATTTACATATCACTTGACAAAGAACTTTGAAACATTGTGGCGTGCTCTAGCGCTTTGTTGTTTCAGTTGCCGGCAATTAGTTTGAATTTCAGTTTCTAGCTGGGTCAAATTGTTTGCCGGCAAATAAATTTCCTGATTTTGCTGCCGTTGACCATTCAAGTTTTCGGGGGTACTGGATAACTTTTCCCGCCTTCGAATTGTTTGTTGATTTTTGGCGCGCAAATTCCGTTGTGTATTTGTCTTCGAACGGAATTTGTGGAAATCTTGTGGGGCTTCGAACACTTTATGGGAGAGTCTGGGGAATATTTAAATATTGCCGATTCAGCTAAGCGGCCTTTTATTGCGGCCCGAGGGCATTTTACATTTTAATGCTCTTATTTGTGAACAGAAGAAGTTATGGGAATTAAAGATTATATAAATAGGCAGCTTACATTTTATAACTATATTTGATCAAAGTTTGACAATGAAAACAAGTTTTTAAAGTCCCTTGACAAAAGATAAACTATAATTGCGATCTACAAATTCAGCCAGTAGCCAATAAATGTAGAACATATTTAATAATATTAAGAAATTAACAAGAAAGGAAGCTACCTTCGGCCAGCCGAAGCTTATATACCCTTGTAGATAAAAGAATACTCACTCGGTGCAGTTCCAGGGATTCCAGATTCAGCGTTTCGATTTATTTCAATTTTGTTTTTAAGTAGTCAAGAATCAAAACGCCTACTTCCTACAAAGTTACAATGAATTTTCTTATATTTGTTTGGGAGCCTTAAGATATAGTGGTCCGATCCGGCTGGCTCCGACATATGTACTACCTGCAATAGAAAGAAGACCTTCGGGAAAGTTTCATAGCGATAGCTTTAAAACTGAGAGACTAGTTCGCATAGAAACGGACAGACGGACAGACGGACAGACGGACAGACGGACAGACGGACAGACGGACAGACGGACAGACGGACATGGCTAGATAGACTCGGCTATTGGTGCTGATCAAGAATATATATACTTTATGTGGTCGGAAACGTCTCCTTCACTGCGTTGCAAACATCTGACTGAAATTATAATACCCTCTACAAGGGTATAAAAATCCGAAATACATGCAAAACATTTTACTTTACATTTTTGTAATCTTTAATAGAAGACATTTGAAGACAAGACCCGAATAAGGAATAGGCATCCACAAATGTGTATGCATACTTATGCCGCCTTATATTTATTTCGTTCTTCTTTTTTGGGAGAGAAGAAATTTCACTGGCTGCGTATGTTTTATGCTGATTTGTTTATATTGGGTATGAATTTTCGAAACTAACTTCCCGGATGGCATGTTGAGAGATATATAAACAAAGGGCCGACATTTAACATGCCCGAAGATATAGCAACCAACCAACTCGTGGAAGTGAGGAATGTTTTGGGGTCGCGAGGATTGGGTGATGGCTCAACAAATTCTTCCCTCCGCCATTCGAGGGAGTTCATTGTATTGCGGAGACGATCTTTCGGGCATTTAGCGCAAATTGCAATGTTCCCCGGGTTAAATG